GACTGTCCCCGTTAATCGTTACTCTTCGGACAAGCTAATAATTTCTATACGGTGTCGCATGACCGAATCTTTCAATGTTATATGGGAAGGTGCGCTTTAATTTATAGTACAGGCAGGTCTGTCTACTTCCGAATTACGAGCGGTAAAAATCGGTGTACCTCTTTAGCTTCCTTCTCGGCGATCGACGAGCGCCCCGGTTCATAATCCTCGATGCGACCAGGCTGATTTTTATAAATCTCCGTCGAGTACTTCAGCGCCCCGTTCCTAGAGCAGAATATAAATCGTTACAAAATTTGAGTAAAGTTGTATATTTTGTAGATTTCGATTTTTTTTTTCTCGTGTTTTGTTTGTATTTTTTGGATTTCGATTTTGAGAGAAACGATTTGTTTTTCGGACGACGAGATCGTCCGAAGAGAAAGATGAAAAATCAATCGGGGGAAGGATACGCGGAGGAAATTGAAACGAGGCACATCCTGGCGGGAAAGTTTCTGAATTCTCGCTTACTTTCTGGGCATAGTCGCCGTGGTGAAGTCATTTTCTTTGTTGCGCAGCCGTCGACGGCTATCGAGAGTAACCGATCGATCCGAGTATGCGCGCGGTTCCGGTTCACTCAAATATCCGCTGCCGCTTCCGTATCCATATCTCCCTCCTGAAACAAGAGTGTTTCGTTTTTTCGCGTTTTGTTTGCAAACGCGGTTCCTATCCGGCCTCGCATTTAGTTCCAGCATAAAAAGAAAAAAAAAATCCACCGGTAACCAAATAACGTTCAATTAACGGCGCAAACAATTCGGTGTTTACCTGGTTTAGTTTCTATGACGTTATAATAGAAATATCACGTTACGCAACACACATATGCACACGCATATACGCACACACATACACGTACACACAATGACGTACGCATTACGTACACACAATGACGTACGCATTACGTAACATTAGTATATATATATATATATATATACATGTTATTTGAAAATTAATCATCGAGAGATCTCCGGCGTTGAGACTGAAGCGGTAAATCTCGGTTCACAATTAAATTTTAAATCGATCTTTTCCGGTAAACGGAGTCCGGATCAAACTACTTTCGCGGCGAAGGAGGAAAATCGACTTGGCGCAGTCAAGAACAATTCGAAGGCGAGGCTCACGAAAGATCGGACGTGAGAACTTCAAATCAACTCAAGAAGTTCCCGCGACAGCGAAGAACTCGCGCCAACTCGAGAAGTTGTTTCCGGCTTGGCTTGATATATCCGACGAGAGCTTCGTATCCCCGGGATACTCCAGATTCTAAGACGCCCGAATTTCGGAGCGTCTACGTGAACCAAGCAATCTCTCGTAAGTTAAGGCACACGTTAATAAGGTAACGATTAATCGGATCAACGGCACGGATGTTAATCTACGTGAGAGAAACACGACCTGCCCGGGGATAGGCAAGTGTTAATTATTACAGCCGGGTGTTAGACGAAGGTAAGGCGCAAGATAGTCATTTATGTATCTGTTCGCAAATGGTTTATTACTATTTCCACGCTCCAACTAACGCAGCTGTTAAACGGCGAGTGTATGTACAGCGGTTACAATCGTTATCTTGCAGAAGGCCATACGTCAGCTGCGGATCTACGGAAAAAACAGGCGGCCCTATCTCGGCCGTCGTTTCTACGCCGCGCGATCCCAGTTATCGTCCCGTTTTATTTTACAGATATTAGTTACGCAGTTGTTATGCGAGTCGCAGCGACTCGGGCGAAACTGCGTTACGCAGCGCACCCACGCTCAGCGTAATATTAGTAGCAAAATATGTCGCAATTCGACCACCGCGGCAGTCATGCGCGGAAGTTGCATATTCACCTCTTCTTGATT